TGGTCTTTCTTCTGCCATTTGATGTTGTTGTTGCTCTTGCTGTTGTTGTTTCTGTGTTTGGACAAATCGCCCATGGAAGGCAAAAGACCCTGCGGATTCATCTCCAGGGGCCGAATGTTAAATTATATATTTTATATAATTGCAGGCTTGGTAGTTGTGCTACGGACTGCATCCTACTATAGAGGGGACAAACCCCTTTCTTATATCTCCTCTTTTAATCCTATCCCCCTCTTCTCTCGAAATTTTCTCTCCTTCCTAACCTATCGCCATTCCATGGCTTCTCCCCCTCTTGCTAGCTTATTCTGACACTGAAGACCCAACGGCAATAGCAGCTCTTGCATAACCAGAGTTATCAAGGCTCATAGAAGCTGTATGATGCATTAGAGATTGTTGTTGTTGCTGAGTACACTGATTAGCGATCAACGAATAAAAATCAGATAGATCGTCAGTAGAAAGACCAGATTTATGAGAATTTGTTGTTGAATTTCATGTCTTAACAGCTGACATAATTATTGATCTATGATTTCAGCTTAAGGGCGTAAACGAAATTAGCTTGTATCGGTTTCAGTTGTTAGAAGGCTAGCTTAGCAAGAAGCTAAGAAAGGCATGAGTTTTAGCTAGGAGGAGCCATGGAGTGGCATGAGGTGTAGGAAGGAGAAAATTTGAGGAGAGAAAAGAAGATCAGAATAGAAGAGAGAGGGATACAAGGAGGGGTGTTGTACCCTCTACAGTAAAGTTCAGTAAGATTACCAAGCCTACAATTATATACTAACATATATAGTTTATCACACCCCCTAGGCTTGGTAGACACAAGCCCACACACACCCACACACCCTAACCTAGCACCCCCATTCCAGCCACAATGACAGTGACACTAGCTAGGTCGACCCCTCGGCGCGCGGGGCGGCGACGTCGACCGCAGGGGCTGCGACGGCGACGGCGGCAGCAGAGGCAGCGGCGGCAATGTCGACAACGGCGGCGGCGGCGTGCGGCTGTGTGGCCCTGACGCAAGCGGCGATAGCGGCCGCAGCGGCGGCTTCGACAACAACGGCGGTGGCGGCGGCGCCCGCACCTCTCGCTGACGTGGCCAGGCCCCGCGACGGTGGGACGGCCGGCGGGAGTCACCCGTCGTCTGCGGAAAGGAAGAGGACACGGGAAGGAGGACGGTGTCACAGGCTAGCATGCGGGCGGCCGGTCTAGCGACGTCACGGGCGTCGCGCGGCCGGCTGCAGCCCGACGCCGCCGTCACAGAGCGGCGCCGGCGCTGCGGCGGGACGTCGACGCTGCGACGGCAGTAGACGGCCCGACGCCACGGCAGCGGCACGACGTGGCCAACGGCATCACGACGCCGCCACTGCAGTACAACGCGGCCGCCATGGCCGCACGAGCGAACAAGGGCGAGTACGCGGTGGAAGCGTGAGGAGGCGGTCCTGCAGGGAGGAACTCCAGCTCTGATAGCATGTTAGAAGGCTAGCTTAGCAAGATGCTAGGAAAGGCATGAGGTTTAGCTAGGAGGAGCCATGGAGTGGCGTGAGGTTTAGGAAGGAGAAAAGTTGAGGAGAGAAAAGAAGATCAGAATAGAAGAGAGAGGGATGCAAGGAGGGGTGTTGTACCCTCTACAGTGAAGTTCAGTAAGACTACCAAGCCTACAATTATATACTAAAGTATATAATTTAACATCAATAACTCACCTAGCTCAGAATACCATGTAGAAGTGAACCACGTGTTTAGGGTGGCTAGGATCTAGAATTGTTGGAACCACGAGTAAAAGTCGGCGGAAGACTTTACACCTTATATTGGAAATGTTCGAAATGACAAGCATAATAATAATGAGTAATACAGACATATTTATTGTCTAGGAAGTACCTATTCTGAATGTACTTGTTCGTGGTGTAACGCGATTATTCGCGTGACATGACTAGTGACTGCTCGTGTGACTGAGAGTGGCGTGACCATTCGAGTGACTATACCTAGGCTGCGGTAATTTCACATCCTGAAACTGGGCGTCAGAAAAACTTTTGTTTCCACCTTGACCATTTCCGAGTGCGGAGATACTGTTAAATTATATATTGAGTTATATAATTGTTAGGCTTGGTAGGTTACCGAACTTTACTGTAGAGGGTACAATCCCCTCCTTGTATGCCTCTCTCTTTCTATTCCAACCCTCTTTTCTCTCCTCAACTTTTGTCCTTCCTAAACCTCACGCCACTCCATCGCCCCTCCTAGCTAAACCTCGTGCCTTTCCTAGCTTCCTAGCTAAGCTAGCCTTCTAACATGCTATCAGAGCAGGAGGTCCTCCCTGCTGGACCGCCTCCTCACGCTTCCGCCGCGTACTCCTCACCCTCGTTCGCTCGCGCGGCCATGGCGGCTGCGTTTTGCTGCAGTGGCGGCGTCGAGACAGCCGCGGCACGACGCGGCCAGCGGCGTCCAGCTGCGGTACTTCCTCCTGCGCGAGCTACAGCAGCGTCGCCAGGCCCGTGTAGTTCACTTGGCCTCCGGTGCTAACACAGCTGATATCTTTACTCAGGCGCTTGCGCTTAAAGATCATCAGCGGCACTGTATACAGCTTGGTCTTGTTCCTGTAACTTCTCATTTGCTAGGGCCATGATTGTGTACTCGCTACTATATATACCTGTCTGACTGGCCTTGTGGTCTTACCTCCAGTGGCTGGACTAGTAGTGCCACACTGGCTTGCTTTAGTCTTGTTTGTACTCTTGCTGACTGGCCCCCTGGCCGTCGCGTTTGCCCCTAGCTGGCCCCCTGGCCGTCGCGTTCACCCCTAGTCGGCCCCCTAGCCGTCGCGTTCGCCCCTAGCCGGCCCCCTGGCCGTCGCGTCCGCGCTTAGCTGGCCCCTTGGCCGTCGCGTCCGCCCCGAGTCGGCCCCCTGGCCGTCGCGTCCGCCCTCAACTGGCCCCCTGGCCGTCGCGTCCGCCCCTAGTCTGCCCCCTAGCCGTCGCGTTCGCCCCTAGCTAGCCCCCTGGCCGTCGCGTTCGCCCCTAGCTGGCCCCCTGGCTGTCGCGTTCGCCCCTAGCTGGCCCCCTGGCCGTCGCGTTCGCCCCTAGTCGGCCCCCTGGCCGTCGCGTTCGCCCCTAATCGGCTCCCTGGCCTTGGCGTCCGCCCCTAGCCGACCCCCTAGCCGTCGCGTCCGCCCCTAGCTGGCCCCTTGGCCATCGCGTCCGCCCCTAATCGGCCCCCTGGCCGTCGCGTCCGCCCTCTGCTGGCCCCCTGGCCGTCGCGTCCGCCCCTAGTCGCCCCCCTGGCCGTCGCGTCCGCCCCTAGCTGGCCCAGTGGCCGTCGTGTCCGCCCTCAGCTGGCCCCCTGGCCGTCGCGTCCGCCCCTTGTCGGCCCCCTTGCCGTCGCGTCCGCCCCTAGCTGGCCCTCTGGCCGTCGCGACCGCCCCTAGCCGGCCGCCTGCTCTTCCCGATGCTGTTCCGAGACCTTGCTGCCTTCCCTACTGTCGCAGACTTTTGCCACTCACTTGCGTGCCTTAGAGACTCGCTATCGCACTGCCAGCACTACTGCCCAGCTCACTGCGCTCCCCCCTCCACTCTGCATAACCCTCTTTTCTCTCGTCAACTTTTCTCCTTCCTAAACCTTACGCCACTCCATGGCTCCTCCTAGCTAAACCTCATGCCTTTCCTAGCTTCCTAGCTAAGCTAGCCTTCTAACATGCTATCAGAGCAAGAGGTCCTCCCTGCTGGACCGCCTCCTCACGCTTCCGCCGCGTACTCCTCACCCTCGTTCGCTCGCGCGGCCATGGCGGCCGCGTTTTGCTGAAGTGGCGGCGTCGTAATGCCGCTGGCCGCGTCGTGCCGCGGCCGTCTCGACGCGCTGCCGTAGTGTCGGGCCGTCGTGCTGCTGTCGCAACGTCGACGTCCTGCCACGGCGACGATGCCGCTCTGTGACGGCCACGTCGGGCTGCAGCCGGCCGCGCGACGCCTGTAGCGCCGCTAGACCGGCCGCCCGCATGCCAACCTGTGGCGCCTCCCCCCCACCCGCCCCCCTCCTTCCCCTGTGTCCTCTTCCTTTCCGCAGACGACGGCTGACTTCCGCCGGCCGTCCCACCGTCGCGGGGCCTGGCCACGTCACCGAGAGGTGCGGGCGCCGCCGCCGCTGTTGTCGAAGCCGCCGCCGTCGCCGCTGTTGCCGCTTGCGTCGGGGCCACGCAGCCGCACGCCGCCGCCGCCGCCGCTGACGACACTGCCGCCGCTGCCGCCGTCGCCGCCGCGACCTCTGCGATCGACGTCGCCGCCTCACGTGCCGAGGGGTCGACCGAGCTAGTGTTGCTGTCACTGTTGCTGGAATGGGGGTGCTAGGTTAGGGGGTGTGGGGGTGTGTGTGGGCTTGTGACTACCAAGCCTAAGGGGTGTGTTAATTATATATTGAGTTATATAATTGTTAGGCTTGGTAGGTTACCGAACTTTACTGTAAAGGGTACAATCCCCTCCTTGTATGCCTCTCTCTTTCTATTCCAACCCTCTTTTCTCTCCTCAACTTTTCTCCTTCCTAAACCTCACGCCACTCCATGGCTCCTCCTAGCTAAACCTCATGCCTTTCCTAGCTTCCTAGCTAAGCTAGCCTTCTAACAGATACCCCCTTGTTCCTACGACTTACCGGTAAGCTTGGCAGACTACACGCGGGAATTAACTTTGAGCACTGCCTAAGCTGACGTCGGGTTTCCTGACTCGACGAACTCTAAATCGAGCAGAAAGCCAAGTTCTGTTTGTTTTTCAAGGGTATCCGAATCTGGTCCTCAGGAGCTACTTTCGGGGGGTGAATACCCTCTCTGCGGAACCCCCTGTGAAAATACTGGGTGTTGAAATACCGCGGGCTAGGTGTATACGCGCGAACCTTTTGTTCACGCGTTGACTCGCTATAGCTGATGTCATCACGCGCGTCCTTCCGTATGAGTTATCGCGCTAGTAGCTCAGTCTAAGTGTTACTTCGGAATGCATAGGTAGACTCTGTCGAGTATACTTCAACAGAAACATGTGTGTATCTTGGAACAATCTTGGCAACTATTTCCAACCAAGATATTGTCTGACAGCCTAAACATCCACATCAAGGTTCTGGTCTACCGTACCTTCCCAGAGTGCGGCAAAAGGTTCTTGTGCCAACACCGCACCATGCCATCACTGCCTGCACAGCATTCAAATGTCGAAACAATCCCCAGAGTCCTAGTAACAAAGAGAAGAGAATATTACCTGAAGAAAACGCTGACCCAAATGGCTGAGAGTTAGCCATTCCCTGTTACTGTCGCCTGTCAAGTACCCACTCTTACTGTTACTCACTACACGTAGGTGCTCATTGCATGTCTTGTCTCTCTCTCTGTGCTGCTGCCACTGCTGCTGCTGCTGCTGCTGTTGCTATCCCAGCTGCAATTGCCACCAGCATTTCATCCCCCCATATCGCCAATCAATCACATGAATACCCCTTAAACCCCACATAAATGCCCCACATGAATACGCTCCACAGGCGTAATAAACCATCAACTAGCAGAGCTGCGTTACAGCCCTGGTTACCAGCGAGGCACAATCACATCACATCACACTCCGCAGATCCAAGCTTGCGCAAATTCAGGTTCAGACTGCTCAGTGCTAAGTGCGCGCACTCCTGGTGGTGAGGAGCTGTTATGGATGAAACTCCGGCCCCTTTGAAGCTCCTCAATACCAGCAGCAGCAGCACGGAGGTTGCACAAGGGGGTGATGATGGAAGCAACGTCGATGGTAAAGAGCCCTCCTACATCGTGCATCCACAGACATCCCCATCCGCGTCTTGCCACCTCATCAGCAGCATCCAGAGCAGAGCAGCCCCATACATAGGTGTGCTAGCATCAGCTTCCTCCGGTTGCCTCCATGCGTCCTCCCTCTCTTTTGACTCTACTCAAAACAGCGCCCAAAGCAGCGGCCAAGGCAGCGGCCAAAGCAGCCCCGTGAACAGGTGGCCTAGCATCGTCTTCCTCCGGTCGTCTCCATGCGTCCTCCCTCCCTGCCTCCACCTCCTTCTCTCAAACCCCCCCCCACTCCCCCGCTTTTCCCCAGCCTCACCACTACAAATCACAAGGCTTCCACAGACATCCCCACTTGCATTTCCCGACTTTGCATGGATACCTCCCCCCTCACACCGCTGCTACAGGCAGCCCCCTAGAGCAGTGCATTCGCTGCAGCCTCCTCTCCTCCTCGCCTGGAGGAGGCTGCAGTCATCTCCACACCTCCTCCCTCCACGCTTCCACCTCCCTCTCCTTCCCCCCCCCCCCCTCTCTACCACCTCTTACTCCTCCCCCCCTGCCATCACCACTACAACGCACGAGGCTTCCACTGACATCCCCATCCGCAAGTCCCGATAAGGCATCGACACACCACCACCACCAGAAGCCTCTCCACGCAGTCGCTTCCAGTTTACTCCGCACGTCCTCCCTCCCTGCCTCCCTCCCCGCCTACCACCCGCCCTCCTCACGACGCCTCCACAGACATCCGCACTCGCATGTCCTGGCTTTGCATCGGCACGTCACAACCACTAGGAGCATAGAGCGGCGACCTCCCAGCAGCCTCCTCCAGTCGTTTCCATGCGTCCTCCCTCCCCACCTCCACCTCCACCTCTTCCCTTCCTCCCCCCGCCCCCCCTCGCTACCACCAATCACGAGGCTTCCACCGACATGCCCATCCGCATGTCCCGGCTTTGCATCGCCACATCCCCACCGCCACCAGACCCATAGAGTGGCGATCGCCCTGCGGCCTCCTCCAGTCGTCTCCACGCGTCCTCCCTCCCCGCCTCCACCTCCTTCTCCTGCGCCTCTTCCTCCAAGAACTGGCGCTGGCAGTCCTCGTACAGCGCCTGGTCCATCTCGAGGAACATCTTGCGCACGTTGATGGTCAAGCCGTTCACGGCCTACAGGGAAAGAGGGCGGAAGGTGGAACAGGGGAGTGCCGGGGGGAGGGGGAGGGGAGGACAGGGGGCAAGTGCGGGGTTGGGGAGAAGACAAGGTTACTTCCTCCTCTAGCAACTGGCGTTGGCAGTCCTGGTAGAGCACCTGGTCCATCTCCAGAAACATCTTGCAGACGTTGATGGGTCAAGCCGTTCACAGCCTGGGTACAAGGTGTGAGGGTGGGTTCAGGGGAGGAAGGGGGGCAGAGGAGGAGGGTGCTGGGGGAACAATGAAGCAACTGGCGCTGGCAGTCCTCGTCGATAGACGCCTGCTTTTGAGACGTCTCAAAACTGAACTTCTATCGCCCAGACGCCCCAACCCCCCCATACCATTAGACTGCTTCAGGGAGCACGCGCGTGCAGAGGCAGGAATGGGAGGCTCCACTGATTGGCGAAGAATCGCAGCTCGCTCGCATACCTTTCCACAAGAGAGCTGGTAAAATCTGTATACTAGGACCAATCCACGCACTCTTCCTAAGAGCCCCATGTTTGAGCGGCAGCAGGCAGCACAGGGAGTCTACTATGCAAGCCCGAGTGTTAGAGTCACATACCCTGCGCTAAGACCTTTCCCTCCCTCACTTCCGACCTTTCCCTTCTGAGTCGACTCAAGAGCCGACTAATCCTCGCGCACTTCTCTTCAGGCCCCCATGCTTGAGCGGCAGCACGGTGACTCGACCATGCGCCTTCCCGTATTCTGCCCCTCCAACCTCCCTCACTTCCCACCTGTCACCTTCGAGTCGACTCCAAAGGCAACTCGTCCTCGCGCACTCTAAACACGCCCCCGCGCTTGAGCGGCAGCCCCATGCCGTGCGGGACAAGTGGCAAGTGAGGAAGGAGCATGGCTCGAATCATATCAAATCAAATACACCATGCTCCTGCCATATTATGCCCTGCCAGCTACCCCTTCCCTCACTTCCCAGATCTCACCCTCCTCCCCCCCGTAGGTGATTTTCGAGTCGATTCAAAAATATTATGCCCTGCCAGCTACCCTCTCTCCCTCACTTCCCAGATCTCACCCTCCTCCCCCCCGTAGATGATTTTTGAGTCGATTCAAATTTATTATGCCCTGCCAGCTACCCTCTCCCTCACTTCCCAGATCTCACCCTCCTCCCCCCCGTAGGTGATTTTTGAGTCGATTCAAAAATATTATGCCCTGTCAGCTACCCTCTCCCTCACTTCCCAGATCTCCCTGCTTCCTTATTCTAACCTCCCCTCTCACCTGGTTCCAGTGGCTCCTGGCGTTCCTCTCCAGCGCCCCAAAGATCAGCGGCAGCACGGCCGCTCTGTTCTGCGCCACGAGGCTCACGATGTAGTCGTTGTTCCACAGGAAGAGGGTGCGCTCAGCCACCTGCGGTTGGAGGGGATGGGAGGGGATGGGAGGGGATGGGAGGGGATGGGAGGGGATGGGAGGGGATGGGACGAATGCACGACAAGAGGGGTGAGGAAAGGAGACAAGTGTCACAAAGAGCATTCGGCTCTGCTCTGCACCACGTGGCTCACGCTGTAGTCGTTGTTCCACAGGAAGAGGGTGCGCTCAGCCACCTGAGAGAAGGCACGAGTGAGGGCGGGAGGGCGGGAGGACGGGAGGGAGGGGCATTATAACGAGCTGACTTTTGAGTCGACTCAAAAATGTTGCACGGGAATCGGGTGCGCTCAGCGACCTAAGGGGGTGTGAGTGGGAGCTCTGGTTGTTGCGAAAGCGCTCTGGTTGTTGCGAAAGCGCTCTTTTCATTGTCGAGCACTGCTGCACTGCAACCGCAGCCGCCCTCGAGGCAACCGAGGGTAACCTACTCGATTGTTTGAAAACGCACGGTACCTTTCTGTGACGTCGGTTCTCACGACATTTTTCTGACACGTGATACACGTTTCAAGGGATCGTGACACAACTCTTTCTCGCAACCCTTGGAGATTCCTTTATGAAAAACGTCTGTTCCGACTACCAGAAAAAAACAAAACAAAACCACCAGTCGTAGTTCACCTGGAAATGCGAACCGTCGAGGCACCTAGCCAACCCCCCCCTTCCTCCCTCCGCGCGCCCGTTCCCTTTTCTCTTCTCACCTGGAAGTGCGAGCTGTTGAGGCACCTCGCGACCCTGAGGAACAGCGGCGGCACCACCTGCTGGAACTCCGCGCCCTGCGTCAGCTCCAGAATCTCCTCCAGCTCGCCCAGAAAGAGCACCTCCTTCTGGCTGTTAGTTAAGGGCCAGTACTTAAGCAGCCCGCGCAAAACCACGTCCGCGAGCGCGGGGTCTTTCTCCACGAACTGAGTGATGCAGTACGAGAGCTGCTGGTGGTACATCGACACGCACTTAGGCTTGTGCAGCGGGATTAACGCGCGGACCAGGAACAACTTGTGCTCCTCCTTAAGAGGCAGCGCGAATCCGTTGATAATACTGCCGAGGATCTCGAGGAGCTCGGCAATCCCGTTGTGCCGCTCTGTCTCGTAAATGAACCGGTAAAATATGTAGTTTATCGACTTGCGGATGAACGGCCGGTGGACCATGAACTTGCCGTATATCCGGTGCAGGATGGTCTTTAAATAGTCGCGCTCTCGCGGATCCTCGGAGTTAAACAGGTCTAGGAGCTTCAGAACGAACGGCTGGTCGATGTACCGTTTCGCCACCTTAGCGTCGGTCTCGTTACTAACTACAAAGCGCAGCAGAAACTCGTACACGATCTGCAGATGCGGCCACGCTAACTCCATATTCGGCTCTTCCTCTTCCGGATCGAATCCTTCCGCGCCAGACGTCTCGTGCGCGGAAGGGGGGAGCGCGCGGAACAGATTCGCGCGCAGCATCCGCACGATGTCTTCGAAGACCACCTCGCTGAATTTCCCCGTGCCGGAGTTGACGTACTCGACTAGTTCTAGGAGCGTCTGCCGCTTAATCTCCTTCTCCTTCATGTTCTTAAGCGGGTCCGCGAAGTCGAACGTGTGACTACAAAGAGCGAGCTTCCGAATGAACAGTGCCTGCTTCTCCTGCGCCGCCACGTCCCGGAAAAGCGGGAGCGGCTCCGCGAACGGCGACACGTTCGGATTCGCTACAACCGGACTCGCTACAGCGTCGTTCTTCTCCCTGTTGAAGCTGCCCGTTCGGTGCGGCGCGCCAGCGGCAGGCGCAGCGCCTTTCGCGGCATTGCCAGCTACTGCTCCCGGAGCCTTCCCTCCTGAACCGGTCCGGGCGATCTGCCCGGCCCCGGGTCCGGCGGGGGGCGGCGCGTGGCCGTGATGCTGGGCGGCATTGGCGGCACTATCGTGAGAGGCGGCGTCGGCTTTATTTCCTGATTTTTTGCGACCTCCTGCAAACGTTTTCTTCACGGATTGCAGCATTGCTACGCGACTATGGCGGGGTTAGTAGAGCTGCCGTCGCTTCACATCTACGTCTGGTAACGAAGCGTGATAATATCAATCAGTGAAGCAGAACGTGATTAAGCCGGCGACGCCACGCGGCAGACGGTGAAGGTGCACGCCCGCGTATGGAATGAGTGAGGGGAAACCTAAAATCCGCGCCGCTGCGTGAGAACAGGGGAAGATGGCAATCGACGGAAAGGGCGGCAAGAGCAGCCCGAACGACGCGACGAAATGCGGAGCTAACCGGTGGACCGTGCAAGGCGGCGGGCTCCCGCCTCCTAACCCTAACGTAGCCTAGTAGTGACGCTCGAGTCTCAACTACCTACGGCTACAGGTAGAGGTAAATAGGGAGCGAACGGATTAGGTCACAAAGCTGCTCAGGGGATAATAATGTAAGTGAGGCGACGCCAATGCAAAAAATAATCGGCGGGGGTAGGGAGGGATTAGGGAGGAAGAAGTAGATTGGGGGGGGTGGGAGGGAAATGGGGAGGAAAAGGCTCGGAAAAGCGCGGACTTTGTGGAGGGGGAGGATGGCGGAAGGGCTCCCTCGCGATGGCGCGTTTGATTCTGTCTGCACCCACCACGTGGAGTAGTGTATGAGAGCAGAATCCTCAGCAGAATCAAGGGCAGACATCTAGGGGAGGGGGAGATAGGACTTCAGGCTCGGCGCTAATGCTTCGCGGAAGACAAATCGGCGGTGACAGGGCGCGCTTTCCAGTGATTGGCGGGGTTCGTTCCGGACTTTTCTGCGCTCGGCTCGTCTGGCTGGATGAGAGGTTGGTTGGCTGGTTGGTTTCCCCATGTGGGGAGCGCGCGGAGTTAGAGAAGTACTGCACCGCGGTAAATGGGGGGAGGCGGAGGGATGCATGCGGGAAGTTGGTTGAAGCAAATGGTGCGATATCTGCGCTAGAGTATGCGTCGGTAAGGGACTGTGGCAAATTTGGGTGTTCGACGTAGCATGCAAAACTCGTTTCGAAGTCGATCGCTGTCACGGCACTCCCTATGACTGCTGCGTTGGCGCCAATTTCCACGCCCTGAGTCCCGCGCGTACGTTTGATTGCAGTAGGGTAAGGTGCCTCACTGCTCAGAAGGATCAAAAACAAATCTACAATGGTTGGGTGAGTTTTGACAAAAAACGTACGCGCTGGACACGCCCTCAGAAGTTAGACACAGGGAATCCTGCCCAGACGGGAAGTGGTGCAATACAAGAAAGGAACATCACAAAGCGGTTTATCGGGATAGCTTACGATTCGCTGGGTTAAACCTCGGTTTGGTGATGTCATGAAGGATCTCCGAGGAGACTCCCCCACCAGGACGCGTGACCCAGCGCATTCGTTTACTATTCTCGGATCAAGGTTTCAGTAGGTTACCTCACGGTCCAGAACGGTTCTCGCCACTCACCACTTTGAACCGTCCCGCACCAGACTGGAACGTATGAAGTGAATTGTAAACTAACGCGCACGCCCTCACAGCCTCGACAATACCATGGAACGAGCACTTCAATCTGGATTACTGTCAGCCATTGTCAACTGAGCTCCCGTTAGGATTTGTTATGAAGTTCATAAGAAGCTGAATCGGAGCATTGCCTGACGTGCTCGCGGCACGTATGTTGCTGCATCCTGAAGGCTTTGTCTTTAAAGGTTCCAGCTCGCCAGTGTACGAAGCTGTTCACGTCTTTGCGTCAGTTCAGCTGGCACTTGCTCTATGCGGATGGCATGAATCCCGGTCGACGTTGTACTGTAACGAGCGGAGTGAGAATACCAACTTGCGCAAGCATCGAACGTGGATCTGATTGAGATTGATGTATTCCTCTGAAACCTGTTGTGCCACGTCGCCAGTGAACGCGCGCCGCTAGACATCAGCCACTTAGGGGCCATGAAGTCAGCTTTTGAGTCGACGCAACGGTTACGTGCAATGCTACCGGCTTTTGAATCGACGCAACGGTTACGCGCAATGTTACCGCGTAACATCCATCGAGCGATCGCCTCGATCTACGACGCCAGGCGAATGCCGAGACTGTCAGGCGTCTTCTTCATCGCGCTAATTTCGCTAGTCTCCTTAATCTCCTTCTCCCTCTGGCAATCCAAGTGCTGCCGCTGCTTACACGGCAGCAGAGAACGAACCCACAGGAGAGGAAGCATCAGCACCAGCATCAGCAGCAGCAGCAGCAGCAGGATCGGGTTTGATGGTTCAAACGACATAAGCATTAGTAGCCACGTCGCGTCTGGTCGTGCGTTACTTAATTCTACGGAGGACGATCGACCGTTCATTTACGTGTACGATCTAGGGCCGGCTTACACTGATAAGATCCTCCAGTTAGAGCCATCGTGGTATTCGCACCAGTACGACGTGGAGAAGTACATGACGGAGCTGCTTATAGCGAGTAACGCCGTGCGCACTGTGGACCCGTACAAGGCGTCGCTCTTCTTCGTGCCGTTCTTCTCGGCGCGGCTCACGCTGTACCACTTCAAGGACTGGGACAACAACATGCGGCACGCCGTGGAAGAGGCGTCCAAGGTGAGGGGGTAGGGAAGGAGGCACAGTAGGCGTGGCGAAAAGGGGGAATGGGGGGATTGTTTCGAGGCTCACGCTGTACCACTTCAAGGGCTGGGACAACAACATGCGGCACGCCGTGGAAGAAACGTCCAAGGTGAGAGGATAACGGGGCAGTGGGGAGCGGGAGGACGGGAGGAACGGAGGATTATGCGAAGAGTGAGGGTAGCTGGCTGTGCAATTTCCGAGGCTTACTCGGTGCCAGTGCAAGGACTGGTAGAGCAACATGTTTGACGCCGTGGAGCGAACCTCCGAGGTGAGAGGATAGGAGGGAGGCGGAGTAGGCATGGCGAGAAGGGGAAATGGGGGCGCTGCTTCGAGGCTCACTCCGCGCCTGTGCAAGGACTGGGACAGCAACATGTTTCACGCTATGGAGCGAACCTCCGAGGTGAGGAGATAGGGGCGAGCGGGCGAGATGGGGGAGAAGGGAGCGGATGGGAAGTGAAAAAAGGGGGGGAGGAGGGGGGGGGGGAAGGGGGGAGAGGGTGGATGAGGGAAGGGGAGCTGGCTTTGGAGTTGTTGAAAGGCAGATTTACGTGGAATTCACTACCCCGCTTTGTGTACAGCATTTGAGGAGTACCACTGTGGACCGTTCGCAAGAAATACCCCTTCATCCTTGAGCCACCTGCCTGTTTTCCCTTCATCCTTGAGCCACCTGCCTGTTTTCCCTTCATCCTTGAGCCACCTGCCTGTTTTCCCTTCATCCTTGAGCCACCTGCCTGTTTTCCCTTCATCCTTGAGCCACCTGCCTGTTTTCCCTTCATCCTTGAGCCACCTGCCTGTTTTCCCTTCATCCTTGAGCCACCTGCCTGTTTTCCCTTCATCCTTGAGCCACCTGCCTGTTTTCCCTTCATCCTTGAGCCACCTGCCTGTTTTCCCTTCATCCTTGAGCCACCTGCCTATTTTCCCTTCATCCTTTAGCCACCTGCCTGTTTTCCCTTCATCCTTGAGCCACCTGCCTGTTTTCCCTTCATCCTTGAGCCACCTGCCTGTTTTCCCTTCATCCTTGAGCCACCTGCCTGTTTTCCCTTCATCCTTGAGCCACCTGCCTGTTTTCCCTTCATCCTTGAGCCACCTGCCTGTTTTCCCTTCATCCTTGAGCCACCTGCCTGTTTTCCCTTCATCCTTGAGCCACCTGCCTGTTTTCCCTTCATCCTTAGCCACCTGCCTGTTTTCCCTTCATCCTGAGCCACCTGCCTGTTTTCCCTTCATCCTTGAGCCACCTGCCTGTTTTCCCTTCATCCTTGAGCCACCTGCCTGTTTTCCCTTCATCCTTGAGCCACCTGCCTGTTTTCCCTTCATCCTTGAGCCACCTGCCTGTTTTCCCTTCATCCTTGAGCCACCTGCCTGTTTTCCCTTCATCCTTGAGCCACCTGCCTGTTTCCCTTCATCCTTTAGCCACCTGCCTGTTTTCCCTTCATCCTTGAGCCACCTGCCTGTTTTCCCTTCATCCTTGAGCCACCTGCCTGTTTTCCCTTCATCCTTGAGCCACCTGCCTGTTTTCCCTTCATCCTTGAGCCACCTGCCTGTTTTCCCTTCATCCTTGAGCCACCTGCCTGTTTTCCCTTCATCCTTGAGCCACCTGCCTGTTTTCCCTTCATCCTTGAGCCACCTGCCTGTTTTCCCTTCATCCTTGAGCCACCTGCCTGTTTTCCCTTCATCCTTGAGCCACCTGGCCTGTTTTCCCTTCATCCTTGAGCCACCTGCCTGTTTTCCCTTCATCCTTGAGCCACCTGCCTGTTTTCCCTTCATCCTTGAGCCACCTGCCTGTTTTCCCTTCATCCTTGAGCCACCTGCCTGTTTTCCCTTCATCCTTGAGCCACCTGCCTGTTTTCCCTTCATCCTTGAGCCACCTGCCTGTTTTCCCTTCATCCTTGAGCCACCTGCCTGTTTTCCCTTCATCCTTGAGCCACCTGCCTGTTTTCCCTTCATCCTTGAGCCACCTGCCTGTTTTCCCTTCATCCTTGAGCCACCTGCCTGTTTTCCCTTCATCCTTGAGCCACCTGCCTGTTTTCCCTTCATCCTTGAGCCACCTGCCTGTTTTCCCTTCATCCTTGAGCCACCTGCCTGTTTTCCCTTCATCCTTGAGCCCCTCCTTCCCCTTCATCCTTGAGCCACCTGCCTGTTTTCCCTTCATCCTTGAGCCACCTGCCTGTTTTCCCTTCATCCTTGAGCCACCTGCTGTTTTCCCTTCATTTTGAGCCACCTGCCTTTTTCCCTTCATCCTTGAGCCACCTGCCTGTTTTCCCTTCATCCTTGAGCCACCTGCCTGTTTTCCCTTCATCCTTGAGCCACCTTGCCTGTTTTCCCCTTCCATGTCCTCTTGAGCCACCTGCCTGTTTTCCCTTCATCCTTGAGCCACCTGCCTGTTTTCCCTTCATCCTTGAGCCACCTGCCTGTTTTCCCTTCATCCTTGAGCCACCTGCCTGTTTTCCCCTTCATCCTTGAGCCACCTGCCTGTTTTCCCTTTCATCCTTGAGCCACCTGCCTGTTTTCCCTTCATCCTTGAGCCACCTGCCTGTTTTCCCTTCATCCTTGAGCCACCTGCCTGTTTTCCCTTCATCCTTGAGCCACCTGCCTGTTTTCCCCTTCATCCTTGAGCCACCTGCCTGTTTTCCCTTCATCCTTGAGCCACCTGCCTGTTTTCCCTTCATCCTTGAGCCACCTGCCTGTTTTCCCTTCATCCTTGGAGGCCACCTGCCTGTTTTCCCTTCATCCTTGAGCCACCTGCCTGTTTTCCCTTCATCCTTGAGCCACCTGCCTGTTTTCCCTTCATCCTTGAGCCACCTGCCTGTTTTCCCTTCATCCTTGAGCCACCTTGCCCTGTTTTTCCC